CCATAAGTGATAGAAACCACAATTATGTGGGAAGAACAGGTGGAAAAGGCTTTTTTCCTTTCCTGGGCAGAGGGCAATCTTAGAATTGTCTTAACAATATATATATAGGATAGAACTACACACATGAGAGTCGTTATGAAGGTTAGCACAGCACAGACTATAACCAACTGCTCTATGAACCATGTATCTGAACATGAATTCTTCAATATTGGAGAAGCATCACAGACAAAATGGTTAATAACAGAGTCACAAAATTCCAAGTAGAGACTCAAACCAAGGGGTGGGAGGATAATCAATAATCCAGACACCCAACAACAGAGGATGAGAATCCTACAGACTCTGCTATTCATGATGGTCACATAATGCAGGGGTTTGCAGATGGCCACATAGCGATCATAGGACATGACAGCCAAGAGAAAAAATTCTGTAGCTACAAAGAGGACAATAAAAAATACTTGACTGAAGCATGCTTTGATGGTGATGGTTCTATCCCCAGTCAATATGATGTGCAGATATGTGGGGACACACGCAGTTGTGAATGAGATTTCTAAAAAGGAGAAATTTTGAAGAAAAAAATACATAGCTGTTTTTAGATGAGAATCCACCAAGATGAGACAAATTATGGTCAGATTTCCAATTATACTTAACATATATGTGATAAACAGAAAGATGAAAACCAAAATCTGTAGTTGTGGGTCATCCGTCAACCCCAATATAATGAATGTTGTTATTACTGAGTGGTTTCTCATCACTCATTTCACATCCTACTGCCCGATCTTCATGTAAAAATCACAGAAATTAAATCTGAGGAATAATATCAAAATAGAACAGGTTTAGTCAGTGACAAATAACTCTCAATTAATGTTACTTACATGCATTTCCTTCTGTTACCTGATAATTCATCTTTGATAAGGTGATGATGACCTCAATTCCACTAAAATGAAACAGGGAAGAAAATCTTAAAAGAGGTTTTTCTTGCAAATTGCTGCCACTGAAATGGTTTCAAATTTTCTAGTATCTCCCAATGCATCGAAATACTTCCAAATCATTCAGCATTTGAAATCTATACTTTGGATGAAATTTTTCACATTGGATTGGGAGTTGGTCATATTAAGATGTACTTTGATGGGTCATAGAGTCTCCATTCTCCCAAAATGTTGTACTCAAAAGCTGGATCCTAACATCTCTTTGTTTCAACCTGTGCTACTTGATAAAAATGCAAATGTGCTGAGGATTGTGAGTTTACTATACAAGGACTCCAGATTCCTATACCCAATTTACTCACAAATGCTGAGGTGCCCAGACCAACTCCTGCCTTCATATCTACACTCTCTTCAGAGGTGATCTTATGCAACCTAAACACCATCTAAATCTTAATGGTGCCCAAGTATACATGCATACATATGCATATAGAAGGTCCCAGGTGGTGAATAGTTAAGTACTCAACTTTTAGCTACACAGTTGGCAGTTCAAACGCACCCAGAGACACCTAGGAAGACAGGCTTGGTGACCTGCTTACGAAACGTCGCAGCCTTTGGAGCAATTCTACTCTGCACACACACCAAACGCTTATTTCAAATCTAACATTCACAAAGAGGAACCTTGTGTACCCCACTTGGCTTCTCCCTGTCATTGATCTTAATAAATAGCAACACCATCTGCCCAGTTGCTGAAATCAAAAAATTAAGAGACGTAATGATTTCCTTTCTCTCACTCTAATACCCAAAACATAAGCAAATATTGTCCTATCGACATTGAAATAAACCCTTTGTCAAACCACAGTTCACCACTAGACCAAAATCCCAACATTCATTCATCTTATTTCTGTTTCCTTTCCTGCCCCTTACCTACAACTATTTCCTTTATTGCAGCTGGAAAGGACTTTTCAAAACTGTGCATTTAGCCACATCTCTCCATAACTTAAAATGTAACAAGAACTTCTTGGCACACATTGACTAGTGCTATTCCACAGCCCACTAATCACTTAAAATAATCCTCACTTTCACTCACCACACCCAGGTTCCCTGGCTCAGTCTCTGACCTTCAGAACAGCCCAACTTGTTCTGTCCTTGGGCTGATGCACAGGCTGAGCCCTCTGCCTGAATTGTTTTTCTCCTCCATGGTCCTGGATCCTTCCTGTCCTTGTGGGCTCAGCTCAAATATCACCTAATCATAGTCTTTTCTACTGAACATCAGATGTGATGTACAGCCCCTGATTAACTAACACAAACTTACATCAGATTTTTTATTTCCTTCCTAATAATCCTCACTGTCTGAAATTATCCCTCTTCTTCTTCCTTTAGTATCAACTAAAAGGTGAGTTAAACGTGAACAACAAAATTAAATATTTGTTATCCCTGCTATAACCAAGACTGAGGGCAATTCTGACATATGGAATATGACAAATATTTGCTGGATTAGTGAATTTTATTCTTGCACACTGGAAAACTTCAAACAGAATAAATATGAACAAAGAAATTATTCACAATAGTAGGCTCTTTCACTTTGGTCAATAACAGATAGTTTTAAATCATTTTAAGGGAAAGTGTGCCAAAGAGATCTTTCATGGAATTTTTTCCCCAATATTTCTTAAATTACATTTTTAATTGACCAACTCTGGTGGTGTAGCACCTGAGGCATTTGACTGCTAACCAGAAGGCTGGGGGTTCAAACCCACCAGCCACTCCTCAGAAGGAAGACTGGGCAACCTACTTCCATAGAGATACTGCCTTGGAAACCCAAGGGGGGTCCCTATGAGTTGGAATTGACTGGACACCAGTGAGAGAGATACCTATTCTAATGAAGAGGATAAATGACCAAATACTCTCTGAATTTCCCTCCCTACCTCTTCTACCAAGCACATAATTGACCTTCTCTCTCTTAATATAATTTCTTTCTACTCAGTTTATCTGTCAATGTGATAATAAACAAAAGCCCAAGCACACAGCCACACTGACTGGAGCAATAACAACTGTTCTTCCAGTGACCTAAGTAGTTACACTGATCGATTCAATTTTATACTGTCTTCAATCAATGTTCTAGGCATCTGCTATCCAATATCAACTAACCATATATGGATATCAAGCACTTAAACCGTGACTAGTCTGCACTGAGATTTTCTGTAACTGTAAAATACACACTTAATGCTGAAACAATAAAATTAGATGTCTCAACAATAAATTTATACTGAATACATGTTGAAGCGATAATATTTTGGATACATGGAATTAAATAACATACATCATTAAAATTAACTTTTCCTTTTTCTTTTTACTTATATAATAGTACTACCAGGAAGTGTTACATTACAAAAGTGGGTCACAGTATATTTGGACAGTGTTATTTATACAGTTACAAGCCTATTCCCATTAAAGAATAAGAAAAGATTTCCCCATAGGACCCAATTAGTTTGTTTTCCTAATCACTTTACTCTTTTCTGTTGGTGAGGGGGAGCTCTGGTGGCAGAGTACCTAAGGTATTTGGCTGCTAACCAGAAGGCTGGCAGTTCAAACCCACCAGCCATTCCTCAAAAAGAAAACTGGGCAATCTACTGCCTCAGAAACCCAAGGAGGGATCGCTATGAGTGGGAATCGACTCAACAGCAGTGAGTTTGGTCTTTGGGTTTTTTGCTCTTTTTTAATATCCTTCACAAATATCCATGAAGTACATGCTCCCAGCACTGAGGAAAATAAAATTCTTTTTTCTCAATAAATAATTATTATTAACTCCTACCACAGTACAATGCCAGATCTACTGACTTCATGAAGATAAAGGAGTATCAAGCTGGGTTTATGAGGCAAATGATTTATAAGAATGTGATGTTAGCACTGAAAGACAGATGATATAGATAGATTTCTTTTTTCTTAATCAAGGGGCTCTGGTAGCATAGTGCCTAAGGCACTTGACTGCTTAACCAGAAGACTGGTGGTTCAAAACCACCAGCCACCCCTCAGAAGGAAAGTTGGGCAATCTACTTCCATAGTGATACCACCTCAGAGACCCAAGGAGGGGTCACTATGAGTCAGGTCCAACTCAATGGCAATAATAACAGCAACAACATGGAATATTTTATTAATGGTAAATGAGATAGGTAGGGGAGAGCGAAATGATAGACAGAGACAGAGAAAAACACACAAGGAAGGATAGAGATTTGAAAAGATCTGGGATTTTGTTCTGTGTGCCAATCAAATCTCTATACTGGACATTCCACCAGTTAAGTGATGCAGAAGATGAGTCCTGCCCACATTTTTGATCTGATGAAGGTTTATATACTCTATAAATAATTTCAGAACTAACTCTCTTAATAAAATATCAAAATCATATTTTGTAGCTAGTAAAAGAGTCCTGCTGGCACAGTGGCTCATGTCCTCGGTTGCTAAGCTTTTAAAATGTCAGCAATTTGACAGTAGATATGACAGTCTGCTTCCCCAAAGATTTACAGACCTGGAAACTCCAAGGAGCAGTTCTACTCTGTCCTATAGGGTCAGTATGAGTAGGAATCGACTCAGTGGCAACAGGTTTAGTTTTGGTTTGACAATGAATTTGCTGTACTAGAGGGAAATATCCTCACAAATGTCTGCTCTTTAAGTTACAAATGGAACAGAACCTGATTTGAAAACCATCCTAGTACTTGTCTGATATTCTGCATTATTTCCCCTGGAAACTGTACCTCAAAAATATGAGTGAGCCTGAGTGTTTAACAAAATCATGCTAGTGGGGAAATCTAAATTATTCCTAATCCTTTGCCCTTAGGAACCTGTACTCACCATAAATACACATATGGCTTCTGTATTTATAAGAAATTCAGTCCTGTTTAAATTAGGAAATATTATGGGACCTCATGGTAACCAAAAGGAAGAAAATAAAGTTTAAAGGGCCAGGATGAGTTAAGAAGCCTCTCTGGCTCTATAAACATGGGGGCTCTGGTGGTGTAATGCCCCAGGCATTTGACTGCTAACCAGAAGGCTAGTGGTTCAAACCCACCAGCCATTCCTCAGAAGGAAGTTTCAGCAATCTACTTCCATAGGGATACTGCCTCAGAAACCCAAGGAGGGGTCACTATATAAACATAGGTTTCAATTTTCTCTGGGCAAACAGATCTTGACATTAAAGATGCTATTTATTTCCTCCATCTCCAATATGTGTGCAGAAAACAACTGAATAAGAAGGTCTTTGGAGGCCCTGATTCAAAAGGCTCTAATGAATGTGAAATATCATTTACTTTGGCAAAATAATTAACTCAAACACCAATAATGTCCATGGAGAGAAAAAAAAGGCAAAAATAGCTACAAACTCACTCCAAATGCAGAAAAATAGGATTCTAAAAACAAATCAGAAACCTATTTATTATTTCCTTACATATAGTTTTGCAACACATTGAGTATGATGTTATCCTTAGTTTCTAAAATAACACACATAACACATAATATAGAAATATTCAAAGGTAGATATTAAAAAGTTGAAAAATGAAAATTATACCATCAAGAAATAAACATTATTAATATCTTGGGGTTACTTCTTCCAAATATTGTCAATATCTATACATACACAAATATTTTGCATATAATATTAAAAACAAAACTGTTTTAAGCCCACATACAACTACTATACATGCCACCAAGATTACTTCTTTCATAAGCCCATCATACAAGAACTTGGGCAAGTGGCCAAAGACAAAGATTGGTTGTTTTTTTTAACCTGGTTGTTCAGAGGCTCCTCTAAAGTAGATATGCTCTGATACACATTAATG